AAGTTGAGCAGCTGCGCATTCGCTAATTGCATTGCAAGAAGATAAACTGCTTCTAGAGAAAGGCTCATGAGCCGGGCTTGGCCCGAGAGGGCTCCCCGCTCGGCCTGTGCACAATACGCTCTTCTAGGGTTTAGGGTTTAGGGTTTAGGGTTTGGGGCCGCTGAGCCCAGTGCACGCTCTCCCGCGCACGCAGGCTCTGAGGGGTCTAGGGTTTGGGGTTTGGCCACAGGCGAGGCGCTGACTCTCCTTTGAGGGTTTAGGGTTTAGGGTTTAGAGTTTAGGGTCTAGAAGGGACGGCGAGGGTTTAGCAGCGCCCCAAGCTGCCGGCTCAGACCACTGCTCGGGTTCACGAGCTAGGGTTTAGGGTTTAGGGTTTAGGGTTTACGAGGGTCATTAAGATGTCGCTGTCTTCAGGGCCCAGCTGCTGCAGCACAAGAGCTGCGTCGTCTTCTAAGAGAACTCCGAAAACAGCCAAGTAGGAACTCAAAACCCTAAAAATAAAAATGAATAAAAAACAAATAAATAAATAAATAAATAAATAAATAATAATTAACTAAATGATAATAATTGGAGTAAGTAAGTTTGAAATGGCAAATTTATGTATTTATTTGAAGAAGAAATGGGTATCAGGTGAAACAATAGGAAGTATATAAACCCTAAACCCTAAACCCTAAACCCTAAACCCTAAACCCTCAACACGCAGACAAGCAATACATGAAAATGAAGGACAACTGGACGAGTGCATAGTAAATAAACAACAGGTAAATAACAAACGCTAAAAAATAACAAATAATAAATAATTATAAATAAGCAAATAATAAACAATAAACAATAAATAGTAAATAATAAATAATAAATAAATAATAAAAAAAAGACAAAAAATAAATGAGCATGCTGCGGGGAAACGGAGAGCAGATCCACACGAAGTAAAATATGAACGAAGAAGTGAGCAAGTAAACCCTAAACCCTAAACCCTAAACCCTAAACCCTAGAAACTTCAACTGCGCACTTGGGTTCTTTGTCGCTTAGAAGCACCCATAGGGGACGGAGAGACTTCAGGCAGTCAACTATGCACGTTGACATCCTGCAACAAACAACCCCAAACCCTAAACCCTAAACCCTAAACCCTAAACCCTAAACCCTAAACCCTGAACCCTTTCATGGCGAAAAGAAGAACGTAAACGTTATGAAGCTTATTTGGTCAATGCTTTCGCGTACGAGCTCTCTGTAAGTGCGCAGTCCTAAACCCTAAACCCTAAACCCTAAACCCTAAACCCTGAACCCTAAACCCTAGATACGCAGCTCACCAGTCCGTGTGTTTGGCTCCCCTGTTCTCTCCTGCGAGCTGTTGCAGCAACCTGAAATACAAAGGCGAAAAGCCGCAAGTCTAAACCCTAAACCCTGAACCCTAAACCCTAGAAGCAGAGGGCGTAGACGGAAGCAGGAAGCAAAGAATAGCTAAATGAATAATAATAAATAAACACTAAGAAATAAATAAATGATAATTAAACAAATTGCAAACAATAAATTTAGAAATTGCAAATAATAAATTAAAAATAAAAATTAAAAAAAAAAAATTGAAAACTCACTTAAACACTTGAACGCCATTCGCCGCTGCTGCGTCTTCTTCCTCTGGGGTTAGCTGATGGTTTAAAGTCGCCTGCAGAATAAACCCTAAACCCTACACCCTAAACCCTAAACCCTCAACCGTCAACCCCAAACCCCTGACTCAAAACCCTGAACGCCAAACCCTAGGGCCTAAACTCTGACGGCCAAAAATGCTCAGGAGGCCTCAGCTGAGCTGCAAACCTTGAGGGTTTAGGGTTTAGTTCAGGGCGGGGGCACAATCTAGGGTTTAGGGTTTAGGGTTTAGGGTTTGGGGACGCACTGCGAAGGCAGCCAGCACTGCGCTATACTCCCTCAAAAGGGCCTGGGCTTCTTCTTTGGTCAAGCAGCAAGCCCCTGCTGCAGCAAGGCGGCGGGAGAACTTAAGCCCACTGCAGCAGCAGCAGCAGCAGCAAAAGCAGCAGCAGCAGCAGCAGCAGCAGCACAGCGGCAAAGTGGGATGTGGAAAATTTGGGGCAGACGGAGAATTAAGGAGCAGCAGATATGTCTCTAAATCCTAAACCCTAAACCCTAAACCCTGTCCCACAAACGCTAAACCTTTAAAAATGAAAAGCGGCTTATGGCCTGGGGTTTAGCACAAGACTGCGAGGACAGGAGAAGCTAGGGTTTAGGGTTTAGGGTTTAGGGTTTAGAGCCGGGGAAGGGAAATCGATGGCTGCACTTTGCTGCTGTGTGCGTCACTTCTCAAAGCCTAGGGTTTGGCGCTGGGGGATTAGGGTCTAGGGTTTAGGGTTTAGGGTTTACTCGGTCACAGCTGCTGCGTCTGCTGCTGCAGCACGAATTACAGCAAAGACGCAGCCAAAGTGGGGCCCCATCCACTGCAGCAAACGGGGGGCCCCCCAAGACCCAGTGCCCCACGCGAGGCCCCCCAGCATACTCAGTACCCAGCAAATCTAACAGCAGCAGCAGCAGCAGCAGCAGCAGCAGCGGAAGTGTTGGGGCGTTGGAAGGACAAGAGATTCAAGAAGCTGAATTGAATTTATGGAAATGCAAATATAAATTGTTTTAAATTCTAAAACATTTTAAATTATAAATTGTTTTCAATTGTAAAACATTTTGAATTATAAATCATTTAAAATATAAAACATTTTGAATTTAAATCATTTTAAATAATAAAACACTTTCTGTTTTAAATGCGCATGCAGCTGCGGTGTACGTGCACCCGGAGGGGCTTACCGCAGGAGCCGGCAGCTGCTGCTTCTTGTCTGCTGCTGCTGCTGCTGCTGCTGCTGCTGCCTGCAGCACGCCGAAGCTGACGCTGCAGCGCTGCAGCAGCGCAGCAGTGCGGGTAGCAGCAACCTCTTCGCTGAGCAAAGTGCCGCTGCGGCGCAGCAGCTGCTGCTGCTGCTGCTGCTGCTGCTGCACATGCCTCGTGGCCAGGTCCCACAGCTGGTCAGAGGGAGCAGCAGCAGCAGCAAAAACAGCAAAGAGGCGGGCGCAGCACTTGCTGGACAGCTGCCGCAGGGCGCTGCTGCTGCTGCTGCTGCCGCTGCTGCAGTTGCTGCTGTCTGCGGGCGCCGTGCTGGAGCTTGACCCCGCAGCCGCTGCTGCTGCTGCTGCTGCTGCTGGGTACTCACACACAAAGGGCCCCCACGCTGGCTACGCTGAGGCTAGGGTGCTGTGGGGCAGCAAGGAGACACCTGGCAGCAAGAGACACACCCGCGTTTAGCACCTTAAGGCCGCCCTCTGCGCGCACAAACCCTAAACCCTAAACCCTAAACCCTAAACCGAAAATTCTGAGTAGGCCCTCTCCAGCGCCAGGGGCCCGCTCAGCGGAGGGGGCGGGCGCGCCCAGCCCACAGCTCGGGTCTTAGGGCTTAGGGCTTAGGGCTTAGGGTTTAGGGATTAGGGTTTAGGGTTTAGGGTTTAGGGTCTGGGGACTAGGGTTTAGTGCGCGTTTGTGGCCGTGAAGCGTCCGCGTGCCGCCCTGCCCTCAAACGGAGCCGCAGCGCTGCCCAGGGTTTAGGGTTTAGGGTTTAGGGTTTAGGGTCTGGGGACTAGGGTTTAGTGCGCGTTTGTGGCCGTGAAGCGTCCGCGTGCCGCCCTGCCCTCAAACGGAGCCGCAGCGCTGCCCAGGGTTTAGGGTTTAGGGTTTAGGGTTTGCGGACCGGGCAAGAGAATGTCTGCCAGCAAAGGCCTCGCTAGTCTCTCTCTAAACAAATAAGCTTTTGCTACAACTGAGAGAAGCCCCAGCCCCGCCTGCAGCACTGCGGGGGAGGGCAGCTGCTGCTGCGCCTGTAGCAGCAGCAGCTGCTGCTGCTGCTGCTGCTGCTGCTGTGCCTCCGCAGCAGCAGCAGCAGCAGCTGAACTCAAAGCGCCAACTTCAGCCTCCAGCATCGTAAACGTCGCATCTAGGAGCCGCAGAAGCTGCGCACCCACCGGAAACCCTAAACCCTAAACCCTAAACCCTAAACCCTAAACCCTAAACCCTAAACCCCGAGGCCCTAGACACAAACCGTGAAGTCCTGAATTCTGGGCGCCAAACCCTAAACCCTCAGCCCTGATAAAATGAAAGGCTCTAGACTCCAACCCCTCAGCCTGAAACCCCAAACCCCAAACCTTAAACCCTAAACCCTAAACCCTCACCTCAGTTTGGGCGTCCTTGTCCTGCAGCAGCTGCTTGGGGGGCCCCAAGTTTTGGCTGCTGAGGGTTTCTGGCCCTGAGGGAGTTGCAATAAGGAGTTGTGTGTAAAACAGCAGCCAGTGCTGCTGCTGCTGCTGCTGCTGCAGCAGCAGGAGCTGCTGCTGCAGCTGCTGGGGCGCGGGGGCGGCGAGGGCGGCGTCGCGTGCCTGCTGCTGCAGCTGCAGCAGCTGCTGCTGCTTTGCTGCTGCTGCTGCAACCGCGCGAGCAGCAGCAGCTAAAGACAAACCAACTAAAGAATTCAAAAACTCTCCTAATGCAGATTCTTTGCTGCTGCTGATAAAAGTGTTTTTGCCCTTCAGCTGCCCCTCGCCCTCGCCCTCCCTTTGGCTGCATGCGTTCAGGCCCCTGCGGCGTCCAAACCCTAAACCCTAAACCCTAAACCCTAAACCCTAGTTTCCAAGCCCTTGGGCATTTCACGCGCTGCTTCGGAAGTTAAACCTCAATAAATGAAAGAACAAAAAGGAGGGACGTGGGGAGCGGCAGCGCTAGGGTTTAGGGTTTAGGGTTTAGGGTTTAAGGGTCTTCTTGCTTGTGGATAAAGGTCTCGACGAAAAGTGCTGCTGAGTCCCTAAAGGCGCGCCACCAGGGGGCGTCCTCGATCCGCATTTTTTGCTGCTGCTGCTGCTGCTGCTGCACTTGCTGCTGCACCTGCTGCTGCTGCTGCGGCGGTAGCAGCTGCTGCGAGTCCGCCAGCAGCAGCAAACGAGAAGCCCAAGTGCTCCAGGCCTGCAGCAGCAGCGCGAGGGCCTCAGCAGCAAGGGGGGCCCCCTCAGAGGCCCCTGCAGCAACAGCAAGAAGGCCAATACCCAAACTGCAGCAAAAAGAAAAAAGCAAATTAATAAATAATTTATTTCCAAAAATTAATTATTTTATTTAGAAACAGACAGCATCTGCAGGAAGTTCAATTTATAATTTACAAAATTGAAAAAGAAAGACACGCAGACAATAGTGAGCGGCCGAGACACGCAGCAACACACGAACTGCTGCTGCTGCTGCTGCTGCTGCTGCTGTTGGTTTGTTCGTGCTACCGGAAAGCCAGCTGCTGCTGCTGCTGCTGCTGCTTCTGTTGCTAGTATGAGCTGCTGCACCTGCTACCGCCGCCGTTGCTGCTGATGCTACCGCTGCTGCTGCTACCGCTAGTACAGCTGCTGCTGCTGCTGCTGCTGCTGCTACTGCTGCTGCTGCGGCTGCTTGCCTGGCCAAAAGAGGAGAAGCTCTGTTGCCGCAAACAGCAAAAAGGACTCCAGGAAGTGCTGCGTTGCAGCCTGCACAAACGCCAGCAGCAAATGTCTCCTTTTGTCTCTTTTTTTATTCTTTAATTCATTTTTATCTCTTTGTTGCTTTTCTTATTTCTTTTGATTTCTTTTGATTTCTTTTATTCTTTTTTCTCCTTTTCGCTTCTTTTTTGTTTCTTTTTGTCTCCTTTTTACTGCTTCTTTCTCGGAAATTGAATGGCAGGAGCAAGCGGCAACATCTTTTATTCTTTATTTATTTTTAATTTTATTATTTCTCATAATTACTCTTCCACTTTTGTTATTTCATTTATTTATTATTAATTTAATTATTTATTCATTTAAATGCATTTTCCGGGGTCAATAAAGCAAAGAACAAGTGACTAATAAAGTAACAGAAAGAATAAACAAATAATAATTAATAACTAGTAATTAATTGAAATTAATTAAAATTAATTAAATTAAATTAAATTAAATTAAATTATTAATAAAAGGAGACAGTCACCTGCAATGTTGGCGAGAGAAGCGCAGAGGTCCCGCACCTCCTCCAGCTCCAGCTCCGTGAACTCTGCTTGCTGCTGCTGCTGCTGCTGCTGCTGCTGCTGCTGCTGCAGGCGCTCATAGAAGGAGCAGGTCTCTATTAAGTCGAGCAGCACATGCAGCAAGGGGACAAAAATGAGTTCCGCGAGTCGCCTTTTTTTGGCTTTGGAGACAGATCCAGAAGAGGCTTTCCGAAGTGGAAAGTTGCTGCTGCTGTTGCTGCTGCTGCTGCTTGCGTCGGCCTCCAGCAGCGCCTCCTCCATGCCCGAAGGCCGGAACTTGGCGACCCGCTGCAGCAGAAACCGCGCTGCAGCAAACAGCTGCGGCTGCTGCTGCTGCTGCAGCCGCAGCAGCTTGTACAGGCGCAGCACGAGCACAAAGAGGCCCTCCTGCTGCGGCAGCGGGGACAGGGCGCCTGCAGCAGCAGCAGCAGCAGCAGATCCTTCAACAACAGCGGGCCCCGCCCGGCCCCCTCCCGCAGCCTCCGCGGCCGCAGCAGCAGCAGCAGCAGCAGCAGCAGCTTCGGGAAAGACAACTGGAAGCCACTCTGCTGGGGGCGCCAATGGCAAATCTTCGCTGCTGCCCAGCAGCAGCAGCGAATGCCGGAAGCTCCAGCAGCAAGCTGTCTCCAGCACTGCCAGGATCGCAGCTGTACGTACACCCCACACCAGCAGCAGCAGCAGCAGCAGCAGATGCAGCAGCAGCAACTGCGGCAGTAAGAACTGCCGCGGCAACGATGCTAGCTCCAAATGCAGTGGAAGCACTGGCGCCAGAGACTGCAGCAGCAGCAGCAGCAGCAGCAGGAACAGTAGCCGCAGCAGCAGCTGAATCTGTAGCAGTAATACGAGTAACAGAAGTGGCAATGGCAGCAGCAGCAGCAGAGACACTTCACCGCAGCAGCACATACACCCACTGCAACAAAAGCTGCACAGAACATGTCGCCATTTTGAAGCGGCAGCAGCAGCAGCAACAGCAGTGGTTGCAGCAGCAGCAGCAGCAGCAGCAGCAGCGGCAGACCTATCTCCTCGTGGCTCGCGGGCTGCTGCTGCGTGTGGTCTAGGATGTACTGCAGCCGCTGCAGCACGCACTGCAGCAGCGGCAGCAGCAGCTCCTTATGAAAGATGCTGCAGCAGCTATTCTGCTGCTGCAGCGTCAGCTGCAGCCCCTGCTGCTGCTGCTGCTGCATCTCCTGCGCTGCCTCTGTCAACAGAGACAGCCAAAAGAGAGGCAGCGGCTCCATGTAGCCTCTGGACATCACCTGCAGCAGCAGCAGTAGCAGCAACAGCAGCAGCAGCAACAGCAGCAGCAGCAGTTAAGTAGGGGGCTGCGTTCTGCTATGCGCAGGGTACAGACACGGCAGCAGCAGCAAGCTTAAAACCCTAAACCCTCAGAGGGGCAGATAAGCATACAAAGAACGAGAACAAGAAGGCTCCAGGGTTTAGGGTTTAGGGTTGTAGG